AGAGAGAGAGAGAGAGAGAGAGAGAGAGAGAGAGAGAACCTGGTGCTTGGCAGCCATAGCCACTTCAGGAGGAAGTCACCATATAGCTGCATCCAATTGGCCTTCTTCTTCCAAGGCTTCATCCTATTGACACTGGCCTCCCCGAGGTGAAGGCCAGACAAGGCCGGCCATCGCTGTGTGATGTCGGAGTGAGGTGGTGAGTTGAGGGAGAAGATCTGAAGGCTGAACTCAAGGCAGGGGATTACTGAACTCCTGTACTTATTTCTGAAGTAAGGAGAGCAATCAGTGTGTTCTGTACGTTCTGGTTCATTTCTACTTCCATCTGAGTTTGCATTGCTGTTTACCTGTTCATCTCACAGCTTGGTTTCTGTCTGAGCAGTGACTGGATTTCCAGTGAATGGCTGCGAACTTCTGTAGACCAATGTTCACTGCATCCATTTCAGTATGTCATATTTATGCAGGCCGATGATGCCTTTTTTTTCGGTTTTGTGTTCCACAACACCAAAGCAGGGACTTTTGGGTTGCTGACCTAAGGAATCCAAATCTATCGAAGAGTCAGGAGAACTCCATCTGCCACAACTCGGTAATAATTGTCGTATCTTGACTGAACGTTGCATCAAGAACAGCTATAATGACTGGGTGTTCTATTCAGGAGAAGACTATCGTCTTCCCACACAATGCTCCGTGCCGTGCTGGGTCCCTGCTGCATAGACCAAGCCAGTTTGGTCACCATACATCGGTCGAACAAGGGCCCCTCCCTCCCTTGAAAGAACGTTCTTTTGAAGAGACTTGCCAGGGGAACACACGTCCTATACCAGCAAGGACCCAACATGGCACGGTGGCCTGCGCTGCATCAGCCACCTCAGTTGCCAGCCCACAGTTATGCTGTAAACGGGGTGGCGACCCCATGCTGCGAGTCATTTTTCCTTTCTCTTTTTTCCTTTGGAAACCCCATGCTGATGTGCTAGAGGGGGTGGTATGAGCACCCTCCGGTCTATTGGTGGGGAGCAGCACCTGCTGGAAACCGGGTCGTCCTGAATTTGCACCGGATAAGTAAAGCCCCGGTTCGCCCATTACCTTTTCAGAATTTTGTAAGGTAACACTGCGGAGCATAACCCTAAGGGCCTAGTTGCACTACTCTCCAGAGGCCAAGTTTGGCGAGTAGGCGCCTGGTAGCACTTACTCGCCAAACTTGGCGAATGCAAAATGTGTCAGACGACTCGCCACAGAGTGAATTCGGTTTCCCCGCCTGTGCATGGCAGTTTGTGGAGGGTGGTCGTCCGACCTCTCCACAAAAGAACTTGCTGGAGAGTGCAGGGCTTCACGAGTACACATCAGGTAGACAAAAAAAATTAACTTTTCTGTAGAAGAAATCTAGTGGCGAGTAAGTGCAACCACGCCTCGAGTTCTACACGATTCTCATATTTTTCACTCTCCACGCATCCGCCATGAAATGTGACGGGTGGCGAGTAGTGCAACTAGGCCCTAAGTTCCTTGCCATTTTCGTTCCTTCCTTTTAGGGCTGCAGTTAAAAAAAAACACGGGTCTCCTTTCATCACTGCATGTGAGATGAGAGAAAAATATATGGCCGTCCCCCGATGAGGAGAAGGCAGGTTTAAAAAAAAAAAAAGAAAAAAAAAACGTTGTGTATTGCTCTGTGAAAGCTGGTACAAAATGTTTGCAAGCTCACATTTCGTAGAAAGCTATGCTTTCAGGGGTCCCCTGTATAGCCTTAGGAGTAGTGGTAGGTAGGTAGTGAAAGAAAGATATGTTCCATGACATGGCAGAACCCCAGTTAAAAAATATGTGAGGTGAGAGAAAAATACATGGCGGTCCCCCGATGAGGAGATATATTTGACGATATATATGTATATATATATTTCAAATATGTTATAAGTTTTATTAAGTTTTATATAAATTTATAACCCACAGAAAGACAATTAAGAAAAAAAAAAGAGCCACACCTGTTTCTTGAAAAGCAAAACAAAACTTTATTTCAAGGACTTCCATTACACAAAAGCAGAGGATGGGCCTGTTCATTCATCCCCCTTGAGACCAACTTCTTCTTCTTCTTCTTCTTCTTCTTCTTCTTCTTCTTCTTCTTCTTTCTTTCTTTCTTTCTTTCTTTCTTTCTTTCTTGCTTTCTTCTTCTTCTTGCCCATTTAGTTAATTTTTATGGAAGAAATGCAACAATGAATTAAAGTTTGAAGAGTTGGATAGGCCATGGGCCACTCTCTATCATCTTGGGTTCAATCCCCAGTCTACTCACAATTGGTGGCCAACTTAATTATAGTTTGCCGAGTTGGATAGGCCATGCTCCTTGGACCCGGTTTCCGGCAGGTGATGCTCCCCACCAATAGATGGAGCAGCCCGTCAGGCAAACCCTCAATTCCGGTGGTTCTCCTACCACCACCAGGATAGAAGTGTTGCACAAGGGCTTTTCTTATAAAAAAAAAAAAAAAAAGATAGTCCATGCTCCGAGTGAGTTTACTGGGAATTTTCTTAAAAAAAAAAAAAAAAGGTAGTCCATGCTCCAAGTGAGTTTATTGGGAATTGAACCCCTCACCTGTCCGATGTAACTCAACCATGATACATCCACAAAGAGGCTGTAATCTCCCAGAAAATGGACTGGGGACTGACCCCATCATCTATCTGATGCAACTCAAAGTGGGCTTGAGGCGAGTGCAAGCTCCGAGTGAGTATGGAGGGGATTGAAACCACCACCTACCTGAAGCAACTCAAGCATGATTCATCCATGAAGTGGGCTTGAGGTGGGCCTGCCGCAGAGTGGTATGTGTGCTTTCTTGTTATAAATGATTGGCCGCAGAAGTGACAATGTAGTGGACGTGCCGGAGTGGTTATCGGGCATGACTAGAAATCATGTGGGCTCTGCCCGCGCAGGTTCGAATCCTGCCGTCCACGGAATTTTACAAAACCAGCTGTAATTCAAGAGGGCCAAGATGAGATACATACACTTATAGACCGGAAGAGCAACCATGACCTTTCAGGTGTGTAAGGGGCATTGGCTCCGGTTGCTAGGCCAAATCGCTCCCATGTCTACGGTGGGCGCCAGAATGTGTTGCTTACTACAACCAGAATGAAGCCATCACAAAGACAATGTTTTTTAGCTGAAACATGTTCCTGACGAAAAGAAAAGAAGATTGTAGATAAAACATACAAGATGCGCCCCAAATTGCAGCCGAGCCTTGACAAGCCAATGGGACTGCTCTGAAATTAGAGGCATGTAAGATTTTACATGTTCGTCCAAAAGGTAAAGAAAAGAAGATTATTACTGTTGTTGTAGATATAAGTTCAGCAATTAAAAAAAAAAAAAAGTTCAGTAATTGCTGCTTGAGTAGCCTAGCAATTGGTCAGCAGTTATCCATGTTTTTCCTAAATTTTCCCGAACTCCTTTAATAGTTCTGAGATTGTTCTTAGCCGAAGCCAGGTAATGGCCCTGGTTTTTCAAATGACTTGTATAATTCTATATGGGACGCTGGGCCCGGTTCCCAGCACGTGTTGCTCCCCACGAACAGACTGGAGCATTTGTCCCCAAAAAAAAAAAAAAAAAACCCTTCTCTTTCTTTCTAATGGATCAGTATGCCAGGTGACTCGAGTCGCAAACGAGTCCAGTGTCTATTGCAGGCCCCACATTTAGATGCCTCCTTTCATTTCTGGCATGTTTGTGGGTTTCCTGGCCCAATCTCGTTTGCATGTAAGAAAAAAATAAAAACGGAAAAAAGAAAGGAATGCCCTTGGCAGATATCATTGGGCCAACAGGCTGATGTAATTCAATCTTGTCCTTTTTTTTTTTCCCCCTTTCTTTTTTAACAATTGGGTGTTCCCCTTCACACGACCCAGCACACCTCCCTTTCGTCAGTTGTCCTTGGCGCACTCCCCTCTCCCCACCCCCACTTCCCTCTCCCCACCCCCCACCCCTCTATCGTTTCTTGGTGGGGTGACCTGACTGGACAACAGTTGCAGTCACCAGATATTCAGGAGAGTATCGCTTTCAGCCCTCTGGTTGAAGCATGTTCGAACGAGCCCTGCCGTACAGGCACTGGAGATGCTAGGTGTAAACGTCTTCTATACAGGCCTGTCAGCAGACCTTAAACCACCATTACACCCGAGCCTGGTGGCGCCGCACCAAAATTTGCCGAGCCGCCGCTGGCACGCCTCCGATTTTTTAAATATTTTTTTAATCATAATTTGGACCATTTCTCGATTTATGCGTGTCATCCTTGCGCAGGGGCCATGCTAATCTTCTTTCTCTGTATCGTTCCAATTTGACGGATGTCCCGAAGGACGCCTCCGAAATTTGGAATTGGAATATGCTAGGAAGACATCTTGCGAGGCTGGGGCTGTCTTCTGCCCAGGTTGTTGTACAGGTTGGATTCTGGACATATGACAATCACCTTCGGCACTCGGCCATGTTCTGTTGATCTCATTGTTGCTATTTTTTTCTTCTTCAGCTCTTCTCACTGCCAGTCATCCCTTGATCTCTTAAGGTCCTTTTCAATTCTGGCTCAATCACTCCTCTCTTTCATAGTTAGTCATCCTACACCCTCGCCCTGAGGTCAGGACAACTGTCGCTGTTGTTCTGTCTGCATATGTACCCTTGGTTTGTTATTTGATAACCATCAATCACCTCAGAATCAGGCTTTCCCCGCCTGCAATCCCCCCTTCTTTCATCCCACCCACCCCCCCTTCCTTTATTTTTTTTTAATTTTTTTTGATTAATTGATTGATCGATCAATTAATTGGTTGCTAATTCCTAGAGAATCTCATAATGAGCCCATCCCTGCCAGGGCAATTACGACGAGTACCCCCGTGCAACTTCTCCCTCGCACCACCTAAGCCAACCAAAAACTGTTCGATTAAGTAAGCTCACAGTTTTACAAGCGAGATGGAGGAGGAGGTGGAGGAGAAGGAGGAGGAGGAGGAGGCTGTAGTTTGGATTCGCCGAACCATCGGGGAGGATCGAAGCCACTGCCACCCAAAGGATTGCAGCGGCAAATTCTGCATGCTGTCAATACAGTCCCCTTGGCCAAGCCGTACCGTGTATATGCCTCGATGGCATACTCGGAACACGTTGGCACGTACCGACAACTCCCAGGGATCCAAGGAGATATCTCCCTCTTATAAAATCTCAATAATGTGACTGCTGCTTTCACACCAATCTGCTCTTTCTCTTCGTCGCCGTTGCCATCTCCTTTGTCGTTTTCCTCCTCGTCCTCAACCTCTTTGCCCATCTCGGGAGTTTTCGCGGGAAGGCTTGATCCATTCTCGTCAGGGTCGCTGTCATCTACTTTTTTGTCGGTTTCCTCCTCCTCAAGGTTGGTCTCCATGTGGGGAGTTTTGGCGGGAAGACCTGACCCATCTTCTGGATCCCCCTCGTTCATATCCGCTGTCATGTCATCTTCACCGCACACATTCGCCCCATCACCAGCATCACGATCTTCATCTTCCTCCAAACCTATTTCCACATCATCGGCATCCAATCCATCAACATACGCCTCATCAGGGCCGCTACCATCATCGCCATCGTCATAACCCGCCGCCTCTTCTGGCCATTCTTCTGTTCCCCTTGGAGGCTGGTTGCACACAACGCTCGGACTGTCGGGATGCCTCCTCCTCCTCCTCCTCCTTTCACGCTCGTTCTCCCCATGCTTTTGGTATGCCGACGACGAGGAAATAGCATAACTCTCGTGCGCATTGTCTTGTTCTCCTGGTGCCCCGCGCTCCTCGTCAGTGTACTGTACCTGCCACCCCCAATGATGAAGATGATCTGCTAACTGCCCGTCCTCTTCATCTCCCGCCCAATCCGATGCACTAGCACATCGACGGAGGACTTTTCCACGTCGATCTGGGCCGTTGGTTCTGCTTCCCTTTCCCAAACTGACCTGATTTATACTACCACATTTCATGAAAGCTGCATCGTTAGGAGGTTGGTGTCTGCATTCCTGCCACCGCTCACAGGACTGCGCTAGGACGTTAATTAGTTTTTGGTGATAACAGCAACCGTTGATGTTCAGCACATCGTAATCAGGAATCTTACTCGTAAGGTCTCTCGAGCCCTTTCTACTCCTCCTCCTCCTTCTCCTCCTCCATGTGCCCCTGCACGTTCTACAGGTGATGTGATCTTCCCCATTCACCCATAGCCAAGAGAAGGAGATGCCGCGTGTGGCTTCCTCCCAGGTTACCTGAGTCGAAGTGAAGGCCTTTCTGTCATCACACGAAAGCGACGACCTCGTGCCACGTGTGAGATGTTGATGGATTTGCAATCTAACGTTATCTGGTTTCTTTTTTCTACCAATCACGAGCCCATCAGGATCGACATCATCTACGCCTTTCTGCCATCCCTTATCCAGGACAGCTGCCCATTTGACACGTGGAAAAGACAACGTTGCATGTAATGTTGTCGACGCCATAGCCGAGGTCAGTCAGTGGTCAGGACGACACCGTATCGCCTTTCTCACTCTCTCTCCCTCCCCCCTTCTCTTTTTTTTAATTTTTTAATTTTGGAAAAGCTCCGATCTCATTCGTGGGGAGCAGCGCGTGCTGGGAACCGGGCCCAGCGTGCCAGGTTTTATACTGTTCAGCAACCGATCCTCACCGCTATCCCAATTCCACATATAATCCCCCCCCCTTCTCTCATCTCGCCTAGCCGCTTGCCCGAAGAGCCAAACTACCGTAGTCCGTTCCGTAACGAATTCCCATCACTACCGTAGACAACTTGCCATCCCGTGTCCGTGGTATCATATGTACGCAAGAGCACGCTAATCCCCCCACCTCCAGCCCCCTTCTCTCGGCCCACTCAGCCCTCCCCTAGAGATGAGGTTACGTCGTTCAGTAACCGATCCTCACCACGAACCCAACTCCAACCTACACTCCCTGGTCACTCGTCCTGCCGGGCCCCTTGCCATCAAATAGCCAGAGTATGGCATGAAGTAACCTACCCCACACTACACCCCTCCGCATCCTCTGCTCCGCTGCCTATCCCATGTCTGTAGCAGCTTATATGCATGTGCACTGCGCTAGGCTGGGGGGCGAGTACGTGGCGTGTCAAACTGCAACCAGCTGAGCAAGGGTAGGAGAGGTCGAATCCACCCACCTCCCAATTGTTTTTTTTTTTTTGTTTTTTTTCCACCTCCCAATTACACCGCCAGAGCTCTAACCAACTGAGCAACACGTTTGACAGGACGCGCCCTTCTCAGCCAGGGTGTTGTGACGACGGGCAAACCTCCACCCAACACTGCTTTCCGGTCGAAGTACGTACTAAGTTGTATTCCCAGGAAAATGTGATGAAAGAGGTGTGCCAAGGATTTTAGGAAATATGGGGGCTGGCGTTCTAGGTTGGGATTGGAATATCCGTGTATCCGTTCCGAGAGTTATAGGAGGAGAAAGGCGAAGAGAAGAAGCAAGAGACAACGGGACGCATACAGATTTTGAGAAAAGCAGGAGCGGAGAGCAACAGGTGTGTCGTTCCCTACGGTCACTTCGGACCATGGAAAGACGCCACACCACGCAGATCCACTGAGCAACAAGGGAGGTACAAAACAGAAATTTATAAGACAAACAACGAAACTTCTATACGAAAACGAAAATAAGTTACGTGTGCGACTGTTCTACGGACTTCGCTGACACTTACCCGCGCGAAAGACCAAGGGCGTACACGTAGGCTCGCAGAAGTGGTTGATCGTCACCCCGCTGGTCCGACCAAAACGCTAGCTTTGCATAAGCCCTGCAATCCCTCTCGCCTGCTTACCAACCCCACAGGATCACCGCCAGTGTGTTGGGACTGACTCTCAGACTTGCCGGCCAAACATTGCAAGAGCAACTGATCTAACCAGATGTACAGATCTGTAATTACCGTGGAGGCCCTCGTGAACTGGCCCAAGGACAGGAGGGGGGACACGCCTCCTATCTGGTTATCTTTCTCTGCTTTTGTGTAATGGAAGTCCATGAATTTTGTTTTTGTTTCTCAAGAAAAAGGTGTGGTTCATTGTTCTTCTTTCTTTTTAATTGTCTTTTTGTGGGTTATAACACGTATAATGTATGCTAAAATTTGAGCCATAGAGAGAATTAAGGGTGTCTTTCCGCCACTCGCGAAATGTGAACTTGCAAACATCTTGTTCCAACTTTAACAGAGCAATACACACCATTTTTAATATTCGAACAGTGATGAAAGGAGGCGCTTGTTTTTGAAAAACAGATAAGGAACTTAGGGTTATGCTCCACACTGTGACCTTATGGAATTCTGAAAAGTATTCGGGGCTTCACTTCTCTGGTGCAACTTACAGGACTTTTGCACGTTACAGTCCAACAGTGGGCTGCCAACTAAGGTGGCTGATGCAGCGCAGCCCACTGTACCATGTTGGGTTCCTGGTTTAGGAGGTGTGCTTCCCTAGTCTCTTCCCAGGAAAGGTTTTTTTTTGTGGGAGGGGGCACCCCGTGTTCGGACGAAGTACGGTGACCAAATAGGCTTGTTCTATGCAGAAGGGACCTACCGTAGCACAGCGTGGATCACTGTATGGGCAGACCAGTGAAAAAGGTGGCAGGTGGAGCTCTCATGACTAGGCCCTCTCCTTTGATCCCAATTGAATGGGAATGGACAACTCACAAACCTGTCCCCATCTGGCAATACACGGTAAGGGAAGGGTACACGTAATCCCATAAGCTCTGCCCCTCTACACCGGTGGACCGGTGGACCGGCGGTGGTACAAAACAGGTGGGTGCGGGACCCCCCCTGCCGCCCTCCGACTTGGCAGACACCCCCTGGTCTTCATATGCCCATACAATGTCAACATCCCACCGGGCCCTCTAGTGGCAGATAATCCACAGGTGGCTCCCAATGGCGGATTGGGTGACCTTCGCTCGAGCCTAGTCGCCATTGTGCTCCTACTGCGGCCTGTCGTTGCAGCGCAGGCGAGCGGATCTGGAGCACTGTCTGCTCGTATGCCCAATGACCTAGCAGATATGGAGGTGGTGGGATGCCTTGTGGCGCAGACTCTCAGACACTCCCTTCCAACAAACCTTACTCGGGACGCCCAGGGACTACCCGCCAGCCTGGACATCCTTCAGCATAACCTTTTAAAACACCAAGCTGACTATCCTGATGGCCATTTGGAGGGTCAGGTGCTCTGCGGAGAGAAAGGAGTTCACTTTCGGCTTCACCCAAGCAAATACCGAGATTGTGGAGCCCATATGGGCCACCACAACTAAAGCTGCAGGTAAGTTAGTCAGAGGCCTGGTTGCCATCACTGACCCTGAAAAGCGGCAGCAAGCGCATTCAAGGAGCAGCGGATAGAACTTAACTGTACAATGTGCGAAGTGCAAGGCAATGGCGGACCGGTGTGGAAGAACTGGTTGGCACAGGAAAATCTCTGGCATCAGAGGCCAGTAGCATGTTTCCCCACGCCTCTGCCGGGCGACAACAGACGAGCTCTGGTAACAACGGCGCTAAGCCTGCGGTCTCTGCCGACCCCCGATGAACCACCCGCCCCGCTGTCCGCACCCCCTCACCCAAGGTCAGCAGGCTTGCCTATTGCCTCTCCCCCTCCCGTCTGCCCGAACTCCATCTTCTCCACCCCCCCCAAGGCTCTGGTACACTTACCCCGCCTGTCGCATCCACCAGCCAAGCTCAGCTAGGCTGCCTATCAACCCCCCCCTTTTCCATCTGCCCCGCCTCCATCTCTCCCTCCTCCACCCACAGCCCCCACAAAGCTAACCCTCCCCTCCATATTCATCAGCACTGCCCAGGGGAGCTTCCCATTGCCCTCCCCGCTCCCGTCAGCCCCATCTCCGTCTTCCCCCCCGCCGCCCCCAATAGACCCCCCTTTCCCCTGTTCCCTTGCCCCCATCCCCTCGTCCCGTCCCCAACCCCTTCACCCCCCTCCTGCTCCTTACCCGTCATCCCAGTGGCCCAGCAGGGACGAGAAATATGACGCTAACACAACGCCTACTTAAACGGCACAACAGAGCAGCGGGAGATCCAAAGTAGAATGCCCCCCTGCACAACTCTTGTGTGAGCTACGGGAATGAAAGACTGTTCCTCCTGGAACAGGGGCCAAGGGGACAACAAAACAGAACCAGTAGAGCCTACATAGAAGTGTCTGGGACAGACCCCAGTTCACGAAACAAATGGGAAGGGCTGCTAAGGTCACCTACGGTTAATCCCCAGCGAGGGCTGGGCAATCAATGCCGCAGGGGACGGGCTCAGCCCGCTGCGCTCATGAGTTGTACTCTGAACTGCTTTCTGAGTGTTTGGGACACTGGACCCAGTTTCCAGCAGGTGCAGCCCCCCACCAATAGATTGGAGCAGCCCGTCGGCCGCGATGCTGGTGGGGGATGCTCATATCACCCCCATAGCTGACCGGAGAGTTTTTTTTTAACTTTTTCCTTTTTTTTTCTTTTCTTTTTTGTTTTAAAAAAAAGGTCAGCCACCCCAAGATCCCTGCTTTGGGACTGTGGAACACAAAACGAAAAACAAAAAGCATAGGCCTGCACAACTATGACATACTGAAATGGATGCAGTGACCTGATCTGCGGAAGCTCACAGACATTCGCTGGAAATCCAGTCAATGCTCAGACAGAAACCAAGCAGTGAGATGAACGGGTAAACAGCAATTCAAACTCAGATGGAAATAGAAATGAACCAGAGCGTACAGAACAAACTGATTGCTCTCTTTACTTCAGAAATAACTACAGGAGTTCGGTAATCACCTGCCTTGAGTTCAGCCTTCAGATCTTCTCCCTCAACTCACCACCTCACTCCAACATCACACAGTGATGGCGGCCTTGTCTGACCTCACCTTGGCGACAATTGCTCTTTCTATACCGTCAGTTACACCAGTATCTCTTCCCGACATCAGGGAGGCCAATGCCAATAAGACGAAGCCTTGGACGAATGCCAATTAGATGCAGCTACACGGTGACTTCCTCCTGAAGCGGCCAGTGGGCTCAATGATATCTGTCTTGGGTCCAGATGTACAGATCTATAACTACTGTGGCGGCTCCCGTGAACCCGCAGGCAAGTTAAGACCTGTGCGTGCGAGCGGGCTAGGTACCAGGGGGGGTCACATGCTGATCCGAACAAAGTGTGCGAGAATTGCCACGTCTGTGTGGTGCGTCCGTATTGTGTCGTGTGTTGAGTTGGACACTACAGCCTTGCAGGGGTGGGATGGATATCACGACCGGAACCATGTATGGTTCCACTTATGAACACCGTGTCCTGACTCTAGTGGTTGGGAGACTTGAGGCTGAGGTCGCCAGTTCGAATCCGTGCTTGCACAGAGTAGGGCCTTGGGCCCAGATGTACGGATCTATAACTACCCACCTGGCCCTCACTTATTACAGAGAGCGAGAGAAACGTGCTCACAGAATGTATGTTTACGAATGGGCCAGAAGGGGCATGCATGCAGAGATTGCGCACAGTAAGAAAGCAGTGCCAAATCGAACTGCGGTGTGGGAACGTAGCCTCTCTCCACAAGGCGATCCAACATACAATGCTATAGGCCCAATCAGGATAACAAAGGGAAGGAAGGCTAGAGGAGAGATTCAAGAGGGTGAGAGGAGAATGCACAAAGATATAGATAGGGAGGGGGGGAGAGAGAGAGAGAGGGAGAGGGAGAGAGAGAGAGAGAGAGAGAGAGAGAGAGAGA